ATATTAAAACCATCATCTTGAAGCTGGCATGGAAGAGGATAAGTACCTAGTATAAAGCAGTCAAAAATTGGTGAGATATGTTGGTATTTACCAACTCTACCCAATAGCCTGGCTGCCATACTCTGGACCTGCTGAAGCTTCTGTATCAGCATCAAGGGAAATCTCATGTAGGAGCCTTACAGTAGTCTATTCTTGAGACTACCAGTGCATGGACCAGCCTGGTGAGTGACTAGGTGTCCAGGTAGTGGCACAGACTACAGCAGCTAATGATGTGCTCTCTGCAATGTATCTTTTGACTCTTAGTTTAATCCTCATGGAAAGGACGTAATGAATATTCACATATATTTTTTTCACCTTGACAAAAAAAGGCATCTCAAGTCCTCAAAACATACTGCTGGAAAAATTGTCAACTGCTATGAACTTTTTTTTATTCCCTAATGTGACCGTGAAGACCAGTAATTTTTGTCAGTGACAGTGTTAGCAAAAAATGTGTATTTTGCACTAGAAAATATGTGTTGCATGGAAACTCTATATTTCGCATAAAGCATTGTACACATTTTGCTTTTTTGAGCAAACAAAACTTCCATAATTTTTTTGCAAAGTGTTACAGTAGAAAAAAAAATGCAAACCCTCAACTCTTTATAATCTCAGCTACCAGGAATAAAACTTTTAAAATATTTTGTACTCCTTTGAAACAACAAAATACATAAATATTACACTCCTACCACACTGCAAGGTGTGGCTGTGTTAAACAAAGATAAATACTGCCACCTGTATCTCTGATTCTCCTTTGGGTTGTTACGGCTAAGGCAACCATCACGTTCAGTACTTGCACTTTAAAGGTTATCATTATATCATCTAACAAGGCAAATTATCTCAGGTTTCCTTCTCATGGACTGTCCTTTATATATGTGTACATTAAAGCTGGTGTTCATTAAATTTGAGAGGATTTCTGGTTAGGATCTGGTGCGGTATAAGATTTCAACTAGATTGACATAAATGGCTGTAAATAGTGACAAGCTCCTCTCCATTTCCTTTTCACACGACATGACAAGAACTCAAAGCACAAATCTTCTGAATGAAATAGAGTCAGCATTTTAAATGGCAGGCATCTAACATAATGACCTTCAGTTTTAGCAAGACAGATCTTAATCCAGATCCCAGACTTTATTGCTTTGGGGATTTTACTGGCTCTTAATCGCAGAAGCAATAAGAGTTTCCAATATGTTCATCTGCCTCAGTTAATCAATTGTTCCAGCTGCCAATCACCAGAAATATCTGAAGGCAAACTTAAATGATTTCAGCCAGTCACTGAAGCAGCTGTGACCTCTTGGGAACAGTGAAGGGCCTCCATAGTGAACCTCAACCCTTTCCTCAGGCATCTCTGACATGCCATATATTGTTTCACAGCAGGTCCACCATTATTGCAATGGATGCAAGCAGCATGGAGGGATTTTGTTGCTGCTTTCCCCTCTTTGTAGCTAGCCTTAGAAAATGATGGTGAGGGCCATAGTTCAGTCTATTCACAGGAATATTATAAAGATATCTAAGAAAAACTCTGAGGTGTGCCTTCTGAGTCCTTGGCAATTGTAAAATAAAATTATCGTATGTCATCTCATTATTATTATCTTGTTATTATGAACTTATCCTATGTGTACTGCTCATCCCTCATGTTATATTAGCCATCTAGTCTAATAATCTGACAACTGTAGGGAAAAAAGCAAACATATTTTATATGCATTAACCAATTAAATCCTTTTTTTGATACTTAACTGATCTTTACAAACACTAATTCTGTGACCGGCTGCATAATTTCATTGAAGCAGTAGGTACAGATTTTTTCCCCATCCATGTGTGACAGTGTGCACAGTGTGCTTGAACATAAACTGCCTTCTTACTAAGTGTGAAAAGCCAAATTTCCCATTCCTTCTTTAAATCTAGTTACTTTACTCCTGTAAGAGAAAGTCAGAGCACCCCATCCTATAATAGAGGTCAAAATCTAAAAAGCCACATAGTTGGCTCCACAAACACTGTGAAGTTGGGGGACAGGTATCAAATTGGGAATTTTTGTGTCTTAGAGACTAGCAGAAATCAGAAGAATTGTGATATAGTTTGATTCATAATTCGTCAACCCTGATGAATCATAAATTATGAATTTATGATTTTTTTCCTGAGGAACTGATTTGTCAATTCATATTTTTTTACTTTAAAACCTGATAAAACAACTCCCCAAACATCTAGAGACACCAAATCTGCACTGCAGCTTTCCCTGACTCTCTTCTACAAGCCTTACCTGTTTGGGGAAGTTTGGGTTTTGGATGTTCGAGTTATTCACCCACAAAAAGCCCCCCTCAGGAAAGTTCACCCCAGGCATCTAGAGACACCAAAATCACAGATAAGCTTCCATCGACTCTCCTCTACAATCTCTCCACATTTGGTGAAGACTAGGTTTCAGATATCGAGGTTATATGCCTAGAAAGTGGGTCCTTCAAGGAAAGTGTCCTTTAGTGCTTGAATTGGGGAAACCAAACTTGAAGGGATTGTAGAGGAGAGTCAGAGGAAGCTTCCCTGCAATTTTGGTGTCTCTAGATGCCTGGGGAACATTTTATAGCCAAACAAATAGAGAAATCAGAAATCACTAAAATTAATTAATTCATATTTGTTGGGGGCATTGATTTGTATGAATACAAATCAATAAATTAGCGATTTTTGAACAAATTTGGAGATTCATTTTTAATTCTTGCCCATCTCTAGTCTTAGTAACTTACTTTATAGAAACTATTTGCAGAGCAATCCAGTGGGTTGATTTCTGAATGCAAAATTTCTCAAACCCAATTGCATTGATGTAATCACCTCACGCACATCTGTATGACAACGTTTTCAGGATCTTTGTATCCCTCTCCTTATTTTTTTTTAAAGACAAGTATTGTTTCCCAAATCAGAACATATGTATCAGGAAATGTTCAATCAATGTCTTGATGATTTCTTGGTTCTGTTGAGGTTCCAATCCATTATTAGGAAACAAAACATGACACTTCATATCTTTTCCTTCCTGTATAATTATTGAGATCTTTGTGCCAAAAATAGCTGTACCACCTGCTTCAAATTGTTTTTGACATGCTTATATCTTTAACTGTCAGTGACATGTAGCTTAACTGAAATGCCATCAAAACATAACCTTTAATTGCATGCTAACATGTCAATTTCTGAATTACAGTGACTCCTACCAGGTTTTCTACAGCCAGGTACCAAACTCACTTTCATTCTATTTTGGTGATAGACTGGGAGGTGCCAATATTGCTAAGCATTTCCCATTCAAGCTTAAAATCATTATATTTGATTCACTGACGGTGCTCTCTCCTTTCTTGGGTGCTTTCTTGGGTGCCATTTCTTTGTTTCCATTTCCTTGCCCCCTCCAAGCAAAATTTGAAATGGAGAGAAAGACAGAATAGCTCCATAATGCCCTTTCATGGGTGGGGTTTAGAACCATGAAGTACCCTTTGTTAATGTACTTAACTTGTAACTTGTAATGCATGTTACTACATTTCTCTGGCTAATATTCTGGGTTCCATAATGTATTTATTCATTGCTATGGTTATTGATCACTTGACACTTTGTTCAGCTTGTTTTTTGGTACACAAAATACAGTGTTGCTGCTCTTCCTTCATTAACCAGAGCATCATCATCATCATCATCATCATCATCATCATCATCATCATCATCATCATCATCATGTGCTCTCAAGTCAATTCTGACTTATGGTGATCCTTTTCAGGAAAAATATTCATTTCACTTAAGTAGAATTTTTGTGTAAATACTATTGTATGGATACACTGGTTGATTATAATAAAGAAACAAGTAGAGATACCTGTATAGATCAGTGAATTGGGTACCTGGCTGTGGAGCCAGAGGTCAAGAGCATGATTCTTCTCTCTGCCCCCTGGGAGCAGAGGCAGCTTGTGTATCCTTGGGCAAGCTACATGGCCCCAGAGTGTCCCGAGATAAAGGAAATGGTAAACCATTTCCAAATGCTCTGTATTTAGAAAACCCTGGTAAGAGCTGCTATTAAGTTGGAATAGAATGAAACGGGCACTTAGTATAGAATAATTAGAAATTCAAAACATATAAATCACTTGTATACTGCCTTCTACATATTCACGGTCTAGAATATTTTGCAGTATTTTTAGGAAAGAAAAAAGAACTGTCAGTTTTTTCTTCATTGCATTTATCAGAAACCCTCCAGCACTTTATCCCTGTTTCAGGTTGCTTTTATTTCTCTTTGCATAGAAATGTGTGTATTTTAAAATGGAACTTCACGATTCCACATAGTTAATACATATTCCCCGTAAGTCAAAACACATGTTTATTTTAAAAAAATACATTCATTTTAGACATACTCACTTACTTGCATACCATTTGAAAAAAAGAAAAAGAATCTGCCACTTATTATTTTATCTCAATGATGGTAGAATAAGACAGGTGTATGCTGTTATTTATAGACTTGGAAGCCACAAATTGAATAAATTCATGAGAAATCTTAGTTAACACGAATTCCTTTTCTATCATGTATTTCAACCCCTACCTAAGAATTGTTTAGGTTCACTGCAGTTATCTGGAAAAAAGACAAATCAACACACCTAGAGTTAAGTACTTCATAGAGCAATTTTATATCCACTTCTTTTGCTGGGGGAGGGGGAGGGACTCTAAAATATGTGTCTGAGTGGATATGTGTAGAATTAGACTTTTCAAATCCCTTTGTTTTCAATGGGAAATTTTATCTAACCTTTTCTCTCTAAATTTAGTAAGGCTTCAAAAGTGCTACTTTGGCAGGATCATGCCCACATTCATTCTTTATGCATCATTTGCTGAGATTAAAGGATTTACTTCTCAATAGATATGCACAGGATTAGACTGTGGAAAAATTAAATGCTGACCCAAGGTGTATCTTCCTCCAGTCTTTAAACATCTCTTTCTCTCTTTTTTCCCCTCCCATCCTTTACCTGGATAAATGTCAGGCACTGGTCCTGGCGATTGTTGGACAGTGCTATCAGAAGCATCATGTGGAGATGTGGGTGCCTGGAGAGGTTGGATAGTGAGACAGTCACTGAAAATGTCTTGGTCAAGCTCTGTAATGGAACGCAACTGAAATGCAAGCACATGGGGAAGGGGGAGAAGAAAACCTTAATTATGGAGAAAAGATTAGCATCAAAAGAAAAGGCGATGGGTCAGAACATATGAGCACATTGCAATAAAAAAGGCCTGTCTAAAAAAACAAACTAGGACCTATATCCAATGTTAATGAGGTTATGCAAGACTTTCTGTACTAGCAGTTACTGTACACGTTTTCAAAATTAGCTATACACACCATTGGTGTGTAACAATAGTTTCATTGTGCAAGTGGTTGCACAAATGCTTCCACAAGCTGTTGCACAACTGTGTAACAAAGAACAAGTGCAATATTAGACATATTCAGTCTCTAAGAATTCCTTTGGATTTAGGCTTGGAAGTTTAAATATATACATATATTCCCAAAGTCTGGAGTATAACAACAGTTGTATTCGAACATTTCAGAGTGCTTGGTGGATTCTACATGCATAATGTCCACATCTTTTCAGTAAACCTGTAATGTTGGTCAGCCTTGAATAATCTCCTGTCTTGCCTATTCTACCTCATGCATTCTCAACTGAGGTAATATCACAAAAAGAGCATTTCCCAGCTCACAACTCAGGCTGTGGTCACACCAGCAAAATGTTTCCAAGTTACTCCTTGTGAATGCTGACCTTTTTTGGGGTTCATACAATGCAAAGCCATTACAGAATATTTTGTTTCCCTTCTGTGCTATCTCCGCATCAAATTCTGCCCACTGGGAGGCTTCTACTATTTTTGTTGCAGGATTCATCATGCAGCAATTACAATAGTATCCTGTGCGCAGGGCTGTACAGATACTTTTTCTAGCAAGCTGCCTTGTGTTGCTTCCACCGATGATGTTGTTTGCCTGCATGTCCCTTTAATTTTGAAAAGAATTTTAGCAAATGGAGTGTCGGTGCATTGGAAAACTCATTGGCCTCTGCATTTCACTTATTTGCAGATCCTTCCACCAGATGATGCTCCTTCCCCTGAGCCCTTTCATGTTTTCCTCTTGGGGAACCTCGTGGTAGAGCTGCAAAGTCTGACTATGACTTCCTCTGCTGCAAGAGGCACAAACACACCAGAGAAACTTGTACCCATCAAGGAAATATCAAAATATCAATGTATCCCCCCCCCAATTTTTTTAAGGAAAAAGGGGGCCAAAGAGACACAAAAACAACTCAGAGGAAAATATTCCATTACTGAAGTGTAGCTAGTCATGTCATATGAAATTTAGGAAAATGTTGTGGTAATTCAAAAACACGTCAGAACACATACCCTGGTATATAGGTGATGTGACCACAACGTGCAACTGCTCAAGGAGTAAAAAATACAAGAAAACATGGAAACATTTTCTTGGTGTGACCACAACCTCAGTCTCCCAGACATAAAACTATACATGGAGCCTTCCCTAGTTCTTCACTTATCAAAATATTGTGTAACACTGACTGATTAGGCTAGGAAAGAAGAGATGACGCCACCATATGGGGGAACTACAGTCTGCCCCAGCAATAGAATTGCAACAATATACTAGTGGCTCAACTCTATTATAACTGTGGCATAGCTGAAGCTTGGTAACACTGTGGCTTGGTTACACCAGTGCAGACATCCAACAAGAAAAGCAACTTGTCACATCCTTTAATGTTTTCTTATTTATTTATTGGACTTATATCCCTCCTTTTCTCCAATTAACGTAAGGTGGCAGATACAGTATGGGTCTCTTTCTCCTCACTTTATTCTGACAAAAAAAACTGAAGTAAGTTGAGCCGAGTGGTTCAGACTGAAGAATTCATGAGGATTTGAACCCATGTCTCTTGGGTCCAACACTCCAACCCACTATATTGCACCTACTCTGAATGTGTGGATTATCAGTAGGGTATATTTTCAACAGCAGATATGCTCCTTGGTCATATCTGTTGAGGAAGGTCTAGGCTGTTCACAGGTGTTATGAGAATTTGAGCTGCAAACGTGAATGGTCGCGAGACCTATAGAACTTTGTATGTCCACTCTTTGTGGGGCTCCTCCTATATGGAGGGCTCTGCAGCTGACCAGTAGCCTGAATAAGCATGCAAGACATTTATAGCCCACATAGGACTGTTAACACTTGTAAGCATATTGTTTATAGTTCAGACAGACTAGAAATATAACAGCTGCTGGCACAGCAGTCATTTGCCAAAACAGCAAGCTGTAGCTCAAAGGTGCTGCAGGGTCTCCCATTTTCCCGTTGAAGCTGCTACAACGGCAATTCTAGCTTCCACTATCATCACCAGAAGAAGAATCATCCGGAAGCATCATATGGGTATGAAGAGATGGCATACATAGACTGGGAGCATCCACACAAACAAGCAGTTTGATTCCACTTCACTGCCAGGGTTCTATCCCAAGATCTGTATTTTAATGTGGGACTTGAGAAATTGTTGCTTGGCACTAAAATTCTCTTTTGTAAAATACCAGTCCCTTGTCAAACTACAAATTTTAGGATTCCAATGGGTGTACTCATGGCAGTTAAAATGGTTACTACTGTAAAATGTAGACATACCCTGTGATTGCAACAACCATAACTTACAGAACATTATAGAACTTCAGTATACGTTTAACCACTTTTAGTGGAAGTTTAACTATCCTTTTATCTAGTCTCATCTTCTATCAGTTTGTTTTACAAGCATAACATAACTCACATTTCTCTAAGACAGATAATATACTTAGCAGATGCTTACTATGGGCCATGCTACCCTGTTATTCAAATTCTCCTATCATCACAAAGAACCCAGGTCAGATCACAAGCATGGAGAGAGAAAAGGTACAGGACTGTGAGTTCTGAAGTGGTTACAAAGTAGGCTACAAACTCTTTACCACAGGAGATTGAGGACCGAGAACCTGCAGCTCATGAGGTTATGGAAAATGTATTTTCCTATTTCTGTGCACCTCTTGTCTAGAGCTTGTGAGATCTACTTGAACCAACCAGAAGCCATGTTAGCATTAGAACAAAACAATAGACAATAAATAGTGAGTTAAAAATATAACAAGAGCTGCACTAAATAAGACTGAAGGCCACACAAAGACATATGGGAAGTCATAGGCAGGGCATGAATACAATAGCAACCTCCCACACATGTTCCTGAGCAATTGGTAGACAGAGGCAGGTTGATTCTGATACTTGGAGACACTGAATAGCTGTCACGGCTAGCAGCCACTGAGAGCTTTAACCTCTATGGTTTTGAAGAGTCTTGTAAGGATTTTTGATACTTTGGAGTTTAACTGAGATATAATGTGTAGCCAAAATCTTTTTAAATAACATGGATAAGTGCATGGTGAGTTCTTGACATCCCTTTTCATTTATCTCTCCTACATCTACCAGCTCTGGGACTCAGATGTTTCTCATACTATAACCATGAACTCTGCTCTCTCAGTTACTCACCAGCTATTATTGTTACCATGCATGTTTATTTTTGAGGTCAAACTTATCCACATTCTTCCTATCCCTATTCTTAGCACAAGTACTACATCTGAGGCTAATTTCTATGAGGTATTGTTCAAAAAAAGAGAGAGTCAACTTTCAAGAAAGATTTCAAGGCTATATTTTTTTTACCCTATATTTACCTTTAAAAGGGTCCCTTTGCATCTTAGCTTGCCAGCAAATTATTCAGTTTTTTAAAATTTCACACTGGGAATGTGTTCTCCTTGCTTTGAAGGCACCACAGGTAGATATAATTGGCTTCCAGTTGGGGGGAACAATGAAGAGATTGGAAGTAATGAAATAAAGAGAAGTATCGTTTGAACTTTTGGACTTTATAGAAACCTGTACAGAGAGCCCTTTGAAATACTAACCTGAACACACAAACAATGCAAGCTATAGATATATTTTTCCCCTTCAAATACACTCAAGCAGTCAGAAGAAATGTTGTGGGTTCTTTAGCATACATACTTTAAGAACAACTATTTTTAAAAAAATAAACAAGCATACTTCACCAGTAGTAGAGGAACAGCTTAGTATAAGAACAGCTTAGTACAGGAACAGCTAGGTTAATTTTAGACTTCAGAATTAACAGCCTTACGGCACTCCACCTATTCAAATGGCTGCAAGAATTGACATGCCTACATCTGTAAGGACACTGTGATGTGCCCCTCACGTGTCCCCAGATTATTTCACTAGCCGGAGATCCACAACATGTTCCCTCCTTTATGCTGCCACCATTAGATCTCTGTCAACAATGTTTAATTAGAAAGATTGAGGTCCATGCTGAGCGTAAAGTTGAACAAAATAGGTTTATTGGTTACAGTTCACATACACAGGTGTTTCTAAGACTTTAAATATTCAGTAGTTTAGTAATAACTTGTTTTACTCTTAACTCTCTATAAGTTCCACACTCTCCACTGCCTCCCTTAACTCCTCACTATACCACACTTTCTAACTCCCACAGACTAACTTCTCATGTCAGACTCATTACTCTGACCCTAACTGACTGACTAAACTCCTCTCCTCTGATTCACCCTTTGCTTCTAGTTTCTTTGGCTCCATCTCCCAACAACTCCCATTGGTACACACAAATAACCTCCTACATTAGCCAAAGCAGGGTGATCGCCACGTAAACCAACCCTAGATTAGATTAGGAAGTTGGGCCCAGGGGAAGTGGCAGGGTTTCAAGGAAAGAAAGTAACTCAGACTTTTAAGAAATATACGTTTTGTTTAATTAAGACACAAAATAGCAATTTTAGACAAAAATGAACGATGGCAGCTCTCTTTAAAAACTAAATAAATATTTCACTAGACAGCTCAATTAGAGTGCGCTGGACTGTGCTAAAAAGGGTTGCTTAACGTCAAGTACGTAGAGATTTGATATGCCATTTGGTGCAATCCTTGCATATGCACCTCAAGTGATTCTATTTGGTCCTGTTCCCTGAAGAAAACAACAACAGCAACATCTCCCCTCTTGCTCCTTCCTCCTTCTGAGATAAAGCTTCATTTCATTTCCCTCCTAAAAGGTATAGTGCATCATCACTGCCCTAATAGGCTT